TCCAAGGCTATAAATCTTTATGGAAGCAGACTGCCTCCTCTTTCTCCCACGGAGCAGCTGGTGGGTTTGAACCTCTGACCTTCTGGTTAGCAGCCCAAACCTTAACCACAGCACCACCAGACCTCCTAGTTACAAGAACAACAATAACCAAAAATTAAAAAACCCACTGCCATCCCAAAGTTATTATTAAAAAAAAAAAAAAAAAACAGGATTCTGGAGCCCTAGGCTGGTCTGGCTGGGACCCAGACTCCATGCTGGTTTCCCAGGTCTTTCAAACATGAGGATGGGCAGCAGAAACCTACCTCTTCTGAGAGGGTTAACATGTCACTAAGCTCTGTCACAGAAGACCAGACCAAACCCACAGCCATCGAGTTGATTCTGACTCATAGAGACCACACTGGGTTTGCCAGGCGGTAAAGCTCTACGGAAGTAGATGCCCCATCTTCCTTCTGTGGAGTGTCTGATGGGTTTGAACTGCCAACCTTCTGATTAGCAGTCAAATGTCTTAGGCACTGTGCCACCAGAGTTGCTTCTATCACAGAAGAGGAGACATTAATAGCCTAAGCTATCACTGGCTATTTGAAGACGGTTGTGAAGCTGGTCACATTTGAACACCAAATGAACTCCTGTTGAACTACAATGATTGTACTTGAAAGGCCTTCTCCTGGCTTTGCAGCTGGAACCTCAGCTGGTCAGCCTTGCAGTTTTCTATTTCAATTCCCAAACAGCTCTGGGCAAAGCTGGAACGATCTTCCTCTCACTGCTACCAAGCAGACGAGAGGAGCTTGGGGAAATGACCAGGAGGAGCCGACTGCCAGATTGGGCACTGTGCACAGAGGAGGGGCCTTATTCCTGTTGCTAAATGAAATGCTGGCTGAACAAATGAGGAAATGGGGAACAGTGTGCAAGAGGCACTTCCACAGTTGAGGAATCCCAAGTTACCATTGTCTGAAAAGCAGTGTACTTTAAAAGAGAGAGAGAAAGAGAGTGGTGGTCACCTGGAAAACCTCTGGCAGCAGCGGGAGGTCCAGCAGAAATACCCTAAAACCCTTAGGAAGCATGTCTAGGCTCCAAGAAACCCATGGCAACAACACTGAACAGTTGTGATCCTAGATCGCCAGGCCTTTCTTCCTACTCTCAGCCTGGAAGCTCCACCGACTCCTGTTCAGCGTCAGCATCCTAGCGACACTCCAGCCTCCGACAGACGTGTGGGGGCTGTGTTGCTGATACATAGTGGTTTATCACCAGAAAGTTAATTTCTCCCTTCAATTTTCTCCAATTTCCACATTCTGGAACTACACCCATCCTTCAAGCTTCCTTTGGACTTACAAGTCAACTAGCAAACACATGCTCTGCACTCCTGCATGTGCCTGTCGCCAGGTAGATTTGGAAGATGTGTACCTTATGCAGCGTGAAAGTTATCAGGATACTTTCAGAATCAAAACACATCGCACAGCTGAGCTGTTAGTTAAGTTAAACCACTTGCTGTCAAGTTGATCCCAACTCGTGGCCACCTGGCATGTGTCAGAGTACAACTGAGCTCCATAGGTTTTCAACGGCTAACCTTGCAGAAGTGGATAGCCAGCCCTTCTTCCGTAGTACCTCTGGGGAGACTCCAACCTCCGCCCTTTCAGGTACCAGCCCAGTGCTTAACTGTTTGCATCACCCAGGGTCTCCCCAGTTAAGGCCACTTAATTACAAGGCTAGCATCTGATTACAATGAAATCAGTCGAATCACCCTAGCCCCTCTGTCTCCTTTTCCTGTTCCACCTTCTGTTGTTTTGTTTCACACTCATGGGCTTAACAGTTCAAATAGGAAGCAATTCTCATTTACCTAAAGCACAATCAGCTGTTGTCTGTCCGGGACTCTACTTGCCTTATAAGGATGCAAATCACCAAGAGGGAGATGGCAAAGGATCTCCTCAGGTAGGGCTCGTTTCTCTTCTGTCGCTGATGCATTTCCCCGCCACAGTGGTTACAGCAGCGACACATGCAGAAGCAGCAGCCCACCAGAGGCATCAGAGTAATGAAGAGCAGTCCCAGGACAGCACAGAAGAGGAGCCCGATCTCATAGTAGACCACCTGCAGGCCAGAGAGAAACAGCAGCTCGTTATCACACAAAACAAGTCGACCTTCCCACAGTGTGCCTCACTTTTTTGTTTGTTTTTTCACCTATTTTCCATCATGAGGTGAATCTTTGTGTCCACGCATTGTTGTTAATGGTCATCAAGTAGGGGGAGGCCGCCCAGGACTCATGGTGACCCCATGCACAACAGAAAAAGCGCTGCCAAGTTTAGGCTAGTCCCATAATCAGTTTCTGTCGTAAGCCATGGGGTTTTCACTGGCCGATGTTTGGAAGGGGATTGCCAGGCCTTTATTCCTAGTCTGTCTTAGTTTAGATGCTCTGCTGAAACCTGGTCAGCATCACAGCAACATGCAAGTCACCATAAAATACATACATACATATACATATGTGTGTGTGTGTGTGTGTATGTGTTATTTTTTCCACTTTGGAGCTCCTTCTTGATACACAAAGGAGCAGAGAATTTAGTTATTACAATATTATAATATGAGACCAAGGGGATGCTATCTTCTTTCAACTAGCCTTGTAGATGTTCAAATGCAGTCAAGCTGCCAGTGACTTAATCTCAACCTCAATGCCCATGCTTTGTTTTCAGGGGTGTAGGACATTTGAGCAGAGCTGCCTGTATAATAAATGTCCCATCTATCAGGTGTTTTCAGCAGAAAGATGGGCCAGGGGGAAGTTATTATGGATTCATCAGAGCTTGGACTGAGTCCATTAGTGACCCAAGAGTAGAGACTATGACTGAATTTAGGGAACAACAAAAAAACAATGGCTCAGACATTCCAAGACAGGTATGTTAACCACGGGCCACTCAGTTTCCCCAACGATATTCTGGGAAGAATGGTCTGTGCCTCATAATGTCATCATGAGAATTAGCAAGAATGTTTGGCAAGTGCCAACTACAGTACCTGGCACATTCAGACCACGGATGCCACTATCCCATTAGGACCACAGGTTCTACACCAATGTGGTGCTGAGCTCAGCAGCCTGTGTTCTCAAGGCTCCTAAATCCCTAGGAGCCAGCACATGCCTCAATATAATCCCATGGCCTAAACCTATTTTCATAATCACTGCTGGCTTGATTCTGAGACAATGGGAAACCAATGCAACTGGATGATGAGGCTGGACCTCACGCCTACTCATGCACGCAATGACATGTCCTTCAAGAAAGACATTTTTTAAGAATGGAGGGAAACCTGAGTTTTGCAGTTTGCAATGAAAGGGCAAGGTAGACAGTGATGGAGTGCAGAGCCGAGCTGAGCTGAGCCAAGTGCAAGTGCAAGTGCTGCTTTGTTGTCTGGGAAGAGCGTGCAGACACTGGAGTCAGAGGTCCTGCTTTCAAAGCCCAGAAGGTAGCTTCTAGCTCGGGTGGCGCAGTGCTTAAGGCACATGACTGCTAACCAGAAGGCTGGCGGTTCAGACCCACCAGCCGCTTCTCAGAAGGAAGGTTGGGCAATCTACTTCCATAGTGATATCTCCTCGGAAACCCAAGGGGGTGTCGCTATGAGTTGGACCCAACTCAATGGCAGTGAGTTAACCTGGAAAAGGTTCTATGAGCACAGGCCTCATCGGGGTATCCTGAAGGGTAAATAATTAAGTGACCTAATGTGGAAACAAGGAGCTCTGGTGATGTCTACAGCATGACTGCTAGCCAGAAGGTTGGCAGTTCAAACCCACCAGTCACTCCACAGAAGGAAGAGTGGGCAAACTACTTCCATAAAGATTTACTGCCTCAGAAACCCAAAGGGGGCTGCTATGAGTCAGAATTGATTCGATGGCAGCAAGTTTGGTTTAATGTGAAAACAGCTAGCCATGTGCACAGTAAATACTAGTTAAATCTATGGGCAAACAGGTAAGAGTCCTAACTCAAGGACATGTGGCACTTACAGGCTATCTTTTAATGTTAAAAAAATAATAAACACGCAAACTATGGTTCCATCGGGCTGCATTCACTAACTCACCCACTCCCCGCCACGTCCACAAGATCTTCTCCAAGAGTTTTTATTAGCTGTGCCTTTGGCCCTTCCCTGAGGGCTGACATCACCAGTCAATCGAGAAACCTGCCCCAGATGCTCTCAACTCATATATTTTGTGATTGTTTCTCAGCACATATTCTAAATTATTTACTATCTTTAAAGAAATTTTAAATCTTTTCTGAATCCCAGGAGGGCGCTGAGCTAGCTCAGCAGAGAAGGTATATTTAGATGTTAATCGGGGCTTTGAACCGGTTCGTTCCAGTCTAATTCCCTGCTGAGCGTCTCCAATTCCGCCCCAGACTGACAGAATCAGAATCTACATTTTAACAAGATCTCTAAGAAGCCCTGTTTTAAAGGCACTAACTTTATGCCAAATACAAAAGTCATATTTTGTACACAGCCTTCTCAGTGTTGTTGCTGTTGTTGGGTGTCGTTGCATTGATGCCAACTCCCAGCTACCCCATGTGATCCTATGAGTAGAATGATCCCATTGGGTTTTCATGGATGTAATATTTACGGAAGCTATAATCTTTACAGTTCTCTCTTCACAGAGCCACTCAGTGGATTCAAATTACCAACTTTTTGCTTAGCAGCAGAGAGCTGGATGCTTAGTCTCTGCAATACCAGGGGTCCTCTTCCCCATATTACAAAGCATTAGGTCAGACAGTATCAGGGACAAGATACACCATTCCAAGGGTTAGCGGCTAGGTGGCAATCTAGCTGAAGTCTACAAAAAAAACCAAAACTCACTGCCATGGAGTCAGATCCGACTCACAGCAACACCTTCTTGGGTTTCTGAGGCAGTATCACTACAGAAGTAGATTGCCCCAACTTCCTTCCGAGGAGTGGCTAGTGGACTTGAACTGCCAGCCTTCTGGTTATCAGTCAAGTGCCTTAGGCTATGCCACCACAGCTCCCAGCTGAGGTCTGGCAGCACCTAAATTGCTTTCTGGTCCACTAAAAACTTCCGAGTACTTTGTAGATTATGTCGGAGATCAGAGTGAGATTGAAATTTACAGACATGTCTCGCTATTCGTTTGTGAACTATTAAAACTAACAGGCAAGATTAAAGATTATGGCAGAAGCAAAAATAAAACAAATAATTTACAAACCATCACAGGGAAGACTATCGCAAAGAACAAAGTCTGGCCAAAGCGTCACTACTCACTGGCTTGAGACAAAGAGCAACATGAAGTAGGAAGGAGACAAGAAATTATTTACCTTCAGAGTCAAAACTACGTTTTCTGGCTGCTGGAGTCAAAGCAGTTGAGGAGTTTGAGAGACACGGAGGCAGCATGCATCAAGAGAACACAGGACAAAGCCACATGAGTGATGAACAGTACCTGAGGATGTGAGTGTCTCACACAGTAGGAGAGAAAGAGGCAAGGACCAGAAAGCCCGACGCTCATTCCAGAAATGGTGTTCTGGGTGAAGTCAAGCTCTGAAATTTACATCTGGATTCTCTATGGGCTTTTCTCCAGGCGCCAATCAGTTTGGACACAGGAATTATGAGAAGGAAAGTCACAAATACCTAATACACCCTCCCTCCAAGTGATCTTGCGAAAGTCGAGAAGCAGAAGCTGCTAGAACCCCAGTGTCAAAGGCAAACTCCTCCCAAGTGTCCTTTCTAAAATGAAACTCTGATGGTGTCGCTCCCCGGCTGACTCGTGCTCAGTGCATTCTCACCATTCTTCACCGAAACTTTGCAACGTGGTCCTGCAGGAGCTAATCCCAGCTTCACGTCCTTACCCTTCTCCACATTCTCAACTTCCTTCCATCCCCAGAAGACATCAATCTCTCTCCCCGTTTCCTGTCCAGCCCTCCTCCATGCTGCCCCCTCTTCTAGAACACTGTCTCCATCACTCTTTGCCTGACTAAACTCAAGTGTAAGCTAAGCCATCACCTCCTCCAGGACGCCTGTCTTGATAACCAGGTCTCAGCTTGGCGAACATCCCTCTATCCTGCTCCACGGAAGCCCTGCGCTGGCCCTTCTGAGCCCTTCCCTACTCAGTCACTGGCTCCCACTGGCCATCTCTGAACCTCAGTGTAAGCTCCAGGAGGGTGAGACCAATGACCCTTTCACCAAGTGCCTCCAGCAAGGAAGCTTGTATACCTCAAGCGCTTAGTCAAAACTGGATGCATGAGGTAGGGACTGATTATGCCCCATCTGTTGGTAAGGGTCTCGGAGGCACAGGGCAGTGTTGGCAGCAGTGCCCAGGCGCAGGCTCTTGACACTGATGTCAGTGGTGTGGGCTGAGTGACCACTCGTATTTGTAATTGTCATGGGCAGTTGGAGTGGAAAATCACAGATACTACGTGGGGGAACCATGATTCGAACTGCTACATCGAACAGACTGTAAAGCCACGCCTACTTGATGTCTAGCCCAGACGGAAACAAGGTGAAAATGTCCCAGCTCCAAGGAGGTATTTGTTGTTACTCTGTATCAGAGCAGGTTGACATTTGGGAAGGAAATAAAACACAAAAGAATTGGCTAATTGTTGTAGCTTACAGGTGGTTCTACCCTGGCCACAGCCCAGAGTGACCTGCCCCTATAACCAAGGCAGGTTCCCCAAACTTCCCTAACCGTATCCATCACATAGGACTTGTTTGAAAGACAGACTGCAGGTGCCACTGGAATCCCCTGAGTCACACACACTATGACAGGGACCTGGAGCTGTGTTTAACTCACCCCTTGAGGGTGTGTGTAGGGGCCTGTGCCCTTGGTGACCATTCAGTGGTGGAATTCTCACCTTCCACACAGGAGGCCTGGGTTCAGTTCGCGGCCAACACAACTCACGTCTATCAGTGGAGGCTTGCCTGTTGCTATGAGGCTGAACAGGTTTCCATGAAGCTTCCAGTGTAAGATGGACTAGGAAGAAAGGGCTGCCAGTCCGCTTCAGAAAATCAGGCACCGAAAACCCTGTGGGTCCTCGTGATCTAGCTGGTCCCTAACAGACCGTGGGGGTGGCACAGGACTGGGATTGCCGTGAGACAGGGGTCACTCAAGGGCAACTGTCAATGGCCTTCAGTGGTAGCAGGCCTATGGGACCCACATCCAGGAAAGGAGGCTGGGCTCATTCAATTGTCCCTGTGACCCTGCGAGCGTTGTGTCTCTGAATTGCCCACCCCTCCAGCAACTGGAATGTGTCATGTCTGTTATTAGTATCACGCTTTGGATTTCCTGGACCACGACAATTTAAAAAAAAAAAAAAGGCTGGGGAGGGATGATAGAGAGCCACCTAATTTTATTTCAGCAGAGAAGAATATTTATCACATATTACACTGGGCAGATCTGCTGCAAAAGACCTCTCTCAAGTGCTGAAGAGTCAAGATGTCTCTTTGAAGACTCAGGTGCACCTGAAGACTAAGGTGTGCCTGACACAAGCCATGGTATTTTCAATCACCTCATATGCATATGAGAGCTGGACAATGAATAAGGACTGAAGAAGAGTCGATGCTTGTGAGTTGTGGTGCTGGTGAAGAATGCTGAAAGTACTAGGCGCTGCCAGAAGAACTAACAAATCTGTCCTGGAAGAGATGCAGCCAGAGTGCTCCTCGGAAGCAAAACTGGCCAGACTTCATCTCACCTAGTTTGTTCGTATTGTCAGAAGGAACCATTCCCTGGAGAAGGATAACATGCTCGGTACAGTGGAGGGTCAGCAAAGCAGGGGAAGGCCCCCAATGAGCTGGACTGACACAGTGGCCGCAACGATGGGCTCAAGCAGAGCACGGATGGGAGGCTGGTGCAGGACTGGGCAGTGTGTTTTGCTCTGTGGTACACAGGCTCACTATTAGTTGG